TTGCAGCTGTCATTGTTGTTTGGAGAGCCGGGGCTAGATTTGAATCTGCCAACTCAGGTGTATATGGCTGGTGCCTTAGGCACTTGAGCCACAGGCGCCGAGCCTGCAGCACTTTTTCAATGTGAGCTCTACAAGAGCAGGGACCTAGCCTGCTTGGTTCAGTGCTGCATACCAGCTTGGCACATAGTAGGCACAATAAATGTTTGTTGAATGAATAAATGAAATAACAGACACCCAGTTCACAGCTGTCCCTCTCCAGTCCCTCTGTGGTCACTGGGCCACTGCAGGACTTGAGTCCATGATCCCCAGGTCCTCACAAGTCTGGAGGACCATCCCTGGGCTCACTGCTTGCAGCCGCCCACCTTGAGCACCAGTTTGCTTGCAAAGTAGAAGAGGGCCACAACCCGGCCCCAGTTGAAGTTGCCATCAGAAAACATCTCAGCTGCCACTCGGAAAAAAACCTCACGGGGGGAGTCTGTGTCCACAGCAGCAATCATCCTGCAGGAAAGAGAACCAATGCAGGGAAGGGAGAATCAGGTAGAGGGTAGAAATTCTGGCATTTCCCTCAAACATAGGAAACTGAGGTCCAAGCCAGGCTGCAATGAAAAGCAATGTGGGATAAAGTAAGGGGACAAAATGAAATTTAGTACTTATGAGGAGAGAAAAAAATGACTACCTTAAGGAGGGTTTCAAGATCCTGGGGAAGGGGAGGGCAGGGAGTCCAGAATGGTTAAGCTAAGAAGTGGGACTCAGACTCTTAGGTCCTAGGGGAGGAGATCAGTGTATGGCTGGGACGCCTGTGTCTAAAGGAGGAGACCAGTGTCTGGACTTCCGGGTGTGGGGGGCGCACCTCTGCAGCTCCATGTTACTGTCCAGTTCATCCCCGATGCGTTTGAGACACTCGCTTAGCTTCTTGGTGGATGCATCCTGGGGCGTCGGCTCCAGGGCCAGCTCAGGTGTCTCCCCCCCCATTCGCCCTGCTCGATCCTGGATGAAACTAGAATGGGAATGGAGTGGGGGTGCAGAATCAGAATGGGGTGTCACTCCTCAAATCCATTCCACAATAATCAGACCTCAAACTCACCCCTGAAGCAAAAGGGCCCCTGTCTTCATGATCTGCTCAGAGCTGGTGGGCCCTAGAGGAGAAAGGAAGGGAAGAGGTACCTGGACTATTGGGTTCTAGGGGTTCAGGAGACTGTAGAGGCTCATGGTCCCCGAGGGAGGACAGAGCTGGGGGCTCTGGACTCCTGGGTCTCTGGTAGATATTGACTATAGACCAAACAACTGAGTCCCTGATGGAAAAAGGCCAGGAGCCTGGGTCTCTATCCTATATTCTTCCGGAAGAGTAGGCTGGGTAACACTTAATGCATCAGAGACCCCTGGCCTGAGGGGGCAGAGACGAGACCCGCCCTTCCCAAACAGGGCCAGAGGCAGGAAGTGGTGCGGGCGACAAGCCCGGGCCTGCCCGGGGGCTTGGATCCTGAGATCTCCAGGTTCTCGGGGGTCCGAGAGTGCCAGGTAGGCAAGGATCGGGGAACGAAGGCCAGAGAGCCAGGAACCTCCGAGCAAGGAGGGGGCTGAAGGCTGGCAGCGCCTGACCCGGGAGTTTCTGCCCCGGAGAGCTTGGAGATCGCACAGCCCCAGGCCGGCAGGATGGATCCTGGGACCGGCCGGCGAGGGGGCTCGCCTGCCTCCCGCCCATCTGCCTCCCGCCTCACCCCCGCCTCTGGGCTGCTCCCCGGACCCGTCCATCACCGCTGCTCCCGCCGCCGCCTCTCGCCGGCTCCGCGCGGGCGGCCGCAGCGCGCCCCCGGTCACGTGAGCGCCCCGCTGAACGTGCGTCCCTCACGTGGCCGCCCCGCAAAATGGCGGCCGCGGACTGCTGCCCCGCAGGGCCACCGGGTCACGTGACGGGGGCTGTTCTCCGCCCCTCCTCCAGAGTGTTGGCCTCCGTCACATGACTGCCAGATCAACGCCTCCCTTTAAGTGCCCACCATCCCTCCACCGTTTAATCACAGCTATATCCTTTATTCATTCGTTCATTCATTCGTGCCCAATTTCAGAAGTTTGGGGAAGGAGTTCAGCCTTTCCCAGTGCAGAAAGAGCAGCAACCCCAAAGTCTCAGAGCCCCAAGATACCGTACAAGACGTTTTAGATGACTAAGCCTGAGAGTGTTTATGTGTTTCAGTAAAAATAAAATGTATGTGAAGTTCAAAAAGTGGCAGAAACGAATCTGGTTTCTGGCGATAGAATGGCAGGATATGGACAGAGTGAGACTCCTGGGATACTCCAAATATGCCATATCTTAATCTGAGTGGTGGTTGTATGCATCACAACTCACAGCAACCTCCAACTCCTGGGCTCAAGCAAGGCTCCTGCCTCTGCCTCTCAAGTAACTGGGACCACAGGCGCCCGCCACAGCGCCTGGCTATGTTTTTTTTGGTTGCAGCCATCATTGTTTGGCGGCCCGGGCCGGATTCGAAACCGCCACCTTAGGTGTATGCGGCTGGCGCCTTAGCCACTTGAGCCACAGGCACCAACCCAACACACAACTTTTTAATTCATTTAGTTGTCTACATAAGATTTGTGCACTTTATGTAAATTGCTATATCTCATATTACAAAGAAAATAATAGTAAGTAAAGGGAACTCAGAAAAGTGGCTAGGGTCAGATGATAAAGGATTTGAATACATCAGAGGAGGATCTACAGTACTGAGGGTAGCTGTAAATTTTGAGCCGGCAAAGGGTGGAGTCAGACCTGGGTGTCTCTGGAATTGGGTCCTCAGTTAAAGGAGCTTTTTATTTGCTAGTGGGGTGACTCACCGCCTGTAATCTCAGCATTCTGGGAGGCTGAGGCAGGAAGATCCCTTGAGCTCAGAAGTTCAAAACCATCCTGAGCAGGGCAGCGCCTGTGGCTCACTGAGTATAGCGCCAGCCCCATATACGTAGGGTGGTGGTTCCAATAGGCCGAGGCCAAACTGCAATAAAAACAATAGCTGAAAAAAAAATAGCTAGGCGTTGTGGCGGGCTCCTGTAGTCCCATCTACTCAGGAGGCTGAGGCAAGAGAATCGCCTAAGCCCAAGAGCTGAAGGTTGCTATGAGCTGTGACACGACAGCACTCTACCTAGGGTGACAAAGTGTGACTCTGTCTCTAAAAAACAAACAAACCATCCTGAGCAAGAGTGAAACCCCATCTCAACTAAAAATAGAAAGAAACAGCTGACATTGTGGCCCATCTAGTCCCAAGTTAGAGGCTGAAGCTGGAGGATCGCTTGAACCCAGGAATTTTAGGTTGGGGCACTCTAGCCTGGGCAACAACAGAGTGAGACTCTGTCTTAAAAAAAAAAAGAAAGAAAGAAAGAAAGAAAAGAAAAACATAAAAAGAGCTTTCATAGTGTTACTGGAATTCTTTCTTCAAGGTCCTGGGTCTTGGGGATGCAAAGAATAAATCCACGAACCACAGATCAGTGGTAAGATTTTATTAGAAAGGAATACAGAATGAGTAAAAAGCACCAGAGCTTCTGGCATAGAGGAAGACCCAAGTTGGAATTCTCTCACTTGGGTCCTTTGTCTAGGGGTATGTATCACATTTTGGCCAGGAGATGGTAAGTGGAAAAACACCTTTTCAAAGTTAATGAGTATATTAACAAATGAATGGATGCAGTCTCTCCACTGGGGCAAGGTTAGGTATTAGGTCTTGGCTGTTTTTGTCTCAGGGAAGGGATTAAGGTGGGTGCTTCCTTACTCTAGGTGGAACCATCGAAAATGTTTCAGGCTGCTTGGTTCAAGATCTAGCTAGAGCCCAGAGAGTGTGGCCTGGAAAAGGCATCCTGTTTGTGCTAGAGAATGGGGGGACCTGTCCAACCCTGAATGGGGAAACCCTGTATCAATAGCACCTAGGATATATAACACTTCTCCTATAGCTGTAATTAATTAACTAATCCCCAGCAATGTTTTAATTTGATGTTAGTCTTTTTTTTTTTTTCTTGAGACGGAGTCTCACTATGTCACCTTTGGTAGAGTGCCATGGCTCTCAGCAACCTCAAACTCTTGGGCTTAACCTCCTCAACCTCCAAGTAGCTGGGACTACAGGTGCCCACCACAACGCTCAGCTATTTTTGTTGTTGTTGTAATTGTTGTTTAGCAGGCCCAGGCCACGTTCCAATCCACCAGCCTGGGTACATGGGGCTGATGCCCTAACCACTAAGTTACGGTGCCAAGTCTGATGTTGGTCTTTTTTATCTACCTAAAATTTCCACAAGAGTTGAGATTGTGTTAATTTATCTGTAGTTCTTCCAGAAACTAGAGTACCACCTGATTCATGGTTTCTCTTAAAATGTATTATTTAGGGCAGTGCCTGTGGCTCAGTGAGTAGGGTGCTGGCCCCATATACCGAGGGTGGTAGGTTCAGCCAAATTGGAACAACAACATCAACAAAAAATAGCCAGGCGTTGTGGCAGGTACTTGTGGTCCTAGCTACTTGGGAGGCTGAGGCAAGAGAATCGCCTAAGCCCGGGAGCTGGAGGTTGCTGTCAGCCGTGAAGCCGCAGCACTCTATCCACGGCCACGGGGTAGACTCTGTCTCTAAAAAAAAAATGTATTATTTAACAAATGGGCACAGAAGTTCATGCCTATAATCCCAGCATGTTAGAAACCAAGGCCAGAGAATCATTCAAGACCAAGAGTTTGAGACCAGCCTAGGCAACATAGAAAGATCCTATCTCTACAAAAAAAATTATTTATTTTTATTATTTTTTTTAGAGACAGAGTCTCTCTTTGTTGCCCTTGGTAGAGTGCCAGGACGTCATGGTTCACAGCAACCTCCAACTCCTGGGCCCAGGTGATTCTCTTGCCTCAGCCCCCAGAGTAGCTGGGACCACCGGTGCCCACCCAATGCCCAGCTATTTTTTATTGCAGTTTGGCTGGAGCTGGGTTTGAACTCGCCACCCTTGGTACACGGGGCCAGTGCCCTACTCACTGAGCCACAGGTGGTGCCCAGAAACCTAATTCTTTGTACCCTCAATGAATCTGAAGCAATAAATAAAAAAATAAATAAATAATTCAAATATTGAAACCTAACCCGCAAGGTATTAAGTGGTAGGACTTTGGGGAGGTGATTAGTTCAGATAGGTGTACAGGTGGAGCCCTTATGAATAGGATTTGTGCATGTATTTTTTTTTTTTTTCTGGCCAGAGCCAGGTTTGAACCCACCACCTCT